TTGGTTCAGTCTATAAAGACTAATCTCACACGAAAAGTAAGCTTGCTGATTAAATTTCAAAAGTTCCCATGAATTATGTTTATAGTAAAGTTTTAATTAATAGCATTTGAGTAAAAAAATTTTTTAACGCCATTCAGCGAAATTCCCCTCACAGAATACTTTTTTCCGTTGGCTTCTGTAAAAGTTGTTTTTCCTTTCTTCGACTAATCTGACAGGAAAGCAAACTTCATTATTTAATTTTAACGCATCTAATAAAGTATACTTTTACTGAAATTTTATCGGATAAATTTTGAAACAAAAAATGTGAAAGATCTAGGTGCAATTTAATAATTAGGTATAATTGAAGAACAATTTTTGATGTAAATCTTAAATATTTTTTATAGTGTTCTGTAAGCGTCGTTTTTCCTTTTCAAGGAGAAATCTCCCAGGAAATCAAATTTCGTAATTAAATTCTAATACACGAGATAAATTCTTTTTTTTTAAGCGAAATTTTATTTAATAGTTTTTGAAGCTGAAACTATCGAATAAACGATTTTTTTTTATGGTTATGGAAGCTGAAACTATCTCATAAACGATTTTTTTTATGGTTTCTGTAAAAGTTGTTTTTCCTTTTCAAGACTAATCTGACAGGAAAGCAAACTTGGTTACTAAACACCAGATAAAAAAATTTTTAAAATAAATTTTATTTAATTGGATGTGAAGATAACACTATTAAAGCTTTGCCTAAGATTTGTAATAAATCTTATAAAAATTTTTTTTTCATAGTTTTTATAAAATTTGTTTTTTCTTTTGAAGACTAAGTTGGTTATTATATTCTAATGAACCAGTGACTTCCTTTTTTCAAGTGAAATTTTATTTAAAAGGATTTGAAGCAAAAATTATTAAAGCCTTGCTTAAGATTTATTACGAATCTTAAAATTAATTTTTTCATAGTTTCTGTAAAAACTCATTCTTTTAAGACTAATCTCACAAGAAAACAAACTTATTGATTAAATTGTACTGCAATACATCTTTTAAATTCTTTTTATTTAAATTTTATTTAACAGTATTTGAAGAAAAAAAATATTGAAGTTATACGTAAGATTTGTCATAAATGTTAGCATATTTTTCTGATGGATGTTATAAAGTGCAAGAAAAACTAATTTTTAACCATTTATAGTTCTCACAGTTTAATGCGAGTGATGATTAAAGTATATTTACTTACTAATACAAACATTTCAAAGGAAAAAACTTTAATATTTCCATGAAAGTATTCATAATTTTCTTCAGAAGAGGTTTGACTCAATAAGTTCTAACATCACAAATAAACACATTTGTTAAAATTATCTATTTTGTAGTGTGGTATTTCAAATCTTACTTAAAATATAATGCTATTTTCGCAGGTTTGTTTACTAGAAGAAGAAAAATAAGAAATACAATTATTATTATATTTTCCTACACTTCAATATTTTAAATATTTATCAAGATATTCGGTTATAACGAAGAAGTATTAGATACTTGATGTGTGCGTTATTTCTACATTTAATTTTCTAATATACTACTTCATTTACAACAGCAGTGTTGCGATTACAATGTCAATTATCTTTCATAACAAAGAAGCCTTTAATTGTACTTCAGTTTTATCGTATGTTCCCAAGTCAAAATTCTGGATGGTTCCATCAAAATTTTTTGATGGTTTATTTTGTTTCAGGGATACTCATGATAGTCCAACATCATTCGATGGTCACCATCATCTAGCATTTTCCATTAATTGTTCATGGTTTTTGATATGCCAACAAACTTCCATCATTCGATGATGGAAAATGTGACTTTAATAGTATGACGGTTAACCATCAAGACAAGTTTGACTCTCATGGAGCAACAATCCATGATGATCATGAGGGTTCCAACTATGCATTTTTATGATGGTTTAATGATAATTCTTGTTGGTTCTCAGCAGTATACCATCAGAACAATTTGGTTTTTTATGCTTGCCCAACATAAATCAGTTCGAATTGGGATGATGGTGGTTCATGATCGTTAAAACATTTGATTTCTACGAAACTATGATGGACATTCCTGATGGTTCAACAAGAACAAACCATCAAAACAAGTTGCCATTCTTATGTTAGACCATCATTAATCGGTCCGAATTCCGAGGGAATTATTCGAGGTGTGATGGTTACTTATGTTGGTTACCATCAAAAAATATGATGGAATTATTGATGGTTATCATCAAGATTATGTTTTTCTATCATTGAAAAACCATCAAACATTGGGATTTGGATTAGAAAAACATTTAAGGTAAGGAATTTAATGCAAAACATTCATTAAACAGAGATGTCATCGACATTAAAAATTTAAAGTTAACTTACTGGCGTAGTACCATTGTATGGTTGGTTCAGGCTTTCCTTTTGCTGCGCAATTAAGGATAGTTCTAACTCCTGACAATATTTCCTTGTCTGCAGGTTTCAGCTTCCATGATGCCGGAGCTGAGATATTTTATGAAACAAATTACTTAAAGACAACATATTTTCGTTTAAAATAATATGATCCTTTAGATTTACTGTTAGGATATAAAATTTCAAAATTTTAAAGGAAAAGAAATAAAAAGAAACATCTAAAAACACTTTTTTGAGTAAGAACCATTAAGTTTTTTCTTATATTAATTCAAAATTTGAGCTACTTCATATTAGAGTTTGTTTAATTATTTTTCTTTAAATGGCTTTGACAAGTAAAAAAATAAACAGTCTTTATTTGAGTTAGATGAAAATTCTACTTTTTTTGTATTTCGAAAGTTTAAAAGCGTTTACAGGTATTTCTCTTTATCTATTAATTTTTGTTGCATTACTTTTTTCATAAAAAATATATATTTCGTATAGTTTTAAACCTATAAATTATATTTAGTTTTTTAAATTAGAATAAATATTTGAAAAATTTATAGCAAAAGGTTTTCTTCATTTATCGTCTACTTAAAAAATCATGAAAACATGCAAGTTTTTATAATAGGTGAATTTAAAATCTTTCTTCAAAAAAGCTGAGATCTATTAAAAGGATAAAAACAGCAACTAATTTATTCTAAAGCTTCAATAAAATTTCAATAATTGTCTTCCTGTGGTTTCAAAGACTTTGCTTGCATCATTAAAAGTTTTTTTAACGAATATTTTAATATGAAATATCTAATAGTCAAAATGCATTGGATAATTCCGCAATATGCAATGTAAAGATTGATTAAATTGTTTTCATCTCTTAAACCTATTTCTTACAAAAGCTTCCATACAAATTGTGATTTATAAAACATGTTACATGAGTCATAATTGAATAGTAAACTACGAATGCTATTTGATTGCAATATTAATAATTTCATTATTTTTTAATTTTTTTTCTCTCCTTTTTGGAGTAAGGTAAGCAAAAAAATAATCAGTATAAATAATTTTAAAAAACTTTAACAAACTTAAATTAATTAAAATTTGTTTTTAAACATTAACCTCCATTCAGTAATCTTGAAAAATTTAAAATTCATAAAAATGGAACAGTTAACATCAGTCAATAGTGTTACAGAAATTTAAAAAAAGTGCAAATGTATAATAACTAACGAAAAATATAATTGGAACTTACTGAATACCACTAAAGAAGTTGTGTAACTGTCAGAATTGTAATCTGATTTCACAACACAAGTGTAATTTCTTGNAAATTTATTCTTTTTCTCTAATTTTTCAATATCTAGATCATGGAATCTACCATCGATTTCTGAAAAATAGAAATAAACATAACACGTTGTCCTATTCTAAGAGGAGGGAAGAAAATAAATTTTATATTTAGATAAGTCATCAAAGAATTATGTAACTAAAAAATTTAAATTAAACTACTTTCAGAGATTATATTATTTTTTTTTTACTATTATCAATTTTAAAATTAAAAGATATTTTAGTTTATAAATGGATGATGATAACTTTGATTATATACATGTTACCGGCAAAGTATGAAACGCCGGCATTCTATAGAATGTCTAGGCATTGTATATAATGCCAGATGTTTTTAGGCAAGGTATGAAATATGAGAAGCATTACATACTTTCCCTAGGCATTGTATATAATACCTAGGCATTCTGTAGAATAACAAATGCTATTTAGGCAAAGTATGAAAAAAACGCCCTGAAAAGGCTATTATATAAATTATGTTCATTTCTCAAAAATAAAAATTTTATTTCGAAAAAATAATGAGAGTGTCATTAAAAAAAGTTTATTCAAAATGCGTAAAGAAAAATGAAAGTTGTACGAAACATAATTTATGTCTTTCTTATTATGGGAAACAAAATGTTCACGGAAAAAATTCACATTAATGTCACAATTATTTTCAGTTTAGAAACAAATGTTGCACAAAATATCCATTTCATCACCTTTACTAACGTGGCCACAGAAGATCTTACACTTTGCCCGTTTCTCATTTGGCATTCTATAGAATGCCTAGGAAATGTGTAAAATATAAATCGTTTTATACATTGCGAACTAATTTTAGGCATTATATGCAATGCATAGGCATTCTATAGAATGCCGGATTCCAAACTTTGCCGGTAACATATATATAATTTTAGCGTTGTGATTGAGAGTTATCGAGCAATCTCCAACGTAATTTTCATTCTTTTTGGTACAATTTAGGTTATAGCAAAATAACATACGAATAATTTCACACATAAATCACTTATAACCTTACATATAAGACTTTGGAAACTATAATTAACTTGAAATAAAAACTAACAACTAGTTAAAAATTAATTCTATTTTAAATTATTAATGTTACAAACTTCATTGAAATGATCGTTTTTCAACTTTTTATGCAAACCTTCGTTTTTGAGGGAAGTTTAATACAGTTGTTTTAATGACTTGATTTGTTGTTTTAATTTGATTGATTGTTGATTTGTTGTTTATTTGTTGATTTAATGACTTGAAAATCGTTTTTAATGCATTTTGGAATACATTGTATGTTATAATGTTTCTGGAGTAGAACTTTTTTCTTGAGCGGAAGAATACATTGGTGAAAAAAACGTACTTTGGTTAGGTTTTTTGCACTACATGTAAGGAACATAGTAAAATGTAAACGATATTTTTATTTTAAATTTTTAGAGCAAAAAAAGGACAGATTAGAGAACAACAAAATCTAGTTACAGCAAATTTTGAGCAAACATTTTGGCATGCACGTTCTCGTTAAAAAAGTAAATTCACCCCGTTGATTTTGTTATTTGAAATTACGTTACATGAAGTATTTGTATAGTTTTGTAAGGTGTGAAAAATAATACAACGTAAAAATGTTATTACCGTTCCGCTTTTTCCAAATTATGGATGGTTTTGGATTCCCGTTTGCAGAACAGGGTATTATAACCATTTCACCCTCCAGAATATCTTTATCAGTCGGAATAATCAACCATTCTGGTGGAACTAAAGAAAAAAAGAACAATTAATATTAAGACAAAAAAACATGCGTGTTTAGAAAATCGTAAGTTATGTAAAAAAAAAATTAGTTACTAGTTCAAAAATGACGATAATAAATCATTATAAGCAAACAGTCTGATGCTTGATTTTCGTTATTAATTTTAAACTTCGACTATCTAAATAGTTTAAAAGCTATACGTTGACAAAATACATAAACTAACTTATAAACATTTATTGACTAAGCGTAATTTCTGAATTCAATTACTAGTTCTTATTTTATATTGGTTTACAAAAAGTAATATAATATATAAAGGATTATCCTGTGCAAATACCGTGTATTTATGAAATCAATTTCTACAAACGCATCAATAATAACCAAAATAGTGATAGCAAAAAAAATATTAAAAAAATGATAGTTTTAAAAAATATTTAATTCTCAGATTGAAACTAAATTTAAGTCAAAACTGGACAGAAAAGTTTAAAAGTATTGAAGATAATAATTGCTCCATTTTTCTCTTACTATTTTAACCAATGTAAGTAAATAAAAAATCATCACTTTTAGAATATATCTAACAAATAATTTGATTTCATTAAAAATTCCATCTTTGCAATATTTAAACGTTGATATGGTGCGTTCGGTTTTGAAAGGCTTTAACGTTTTCACATTTAAATGTCACATTGCTAACATTAATTTTCACTAATTAATTTTTAATCAGTTGCGCATCACGAGTGCTTGTAACGTCATTTTTTAAAAGAGATTTTAAAAATATATGTTAGACGTCGAAATTACAAAACAATTAGTTATCACCTATTATATAAATTGTATAAAAATGGCAAAAGGAATTGATATAAAGTAATATAAATAGAAATGGCATATAGTATTTCACTAAACTGCAAATATTTCCATTAAAGCATGCATTTGTTAACTATTTAATGCAATATATATTTACCTCTTACAACCAACTCGGAAACAAATTTTTCGGATTTTGTTTCAGAAATAACTTGGCAGGTGTAATTACCGGAATCTGTTTCGGATACGTGATCAATAATAAGAGTGGAAACATCAGAAACAGATAAAATTTTAATATTTCGCTGTTCGGTCAATTTTTTGCCATCTTTCAACCACTCGAATTTCAATCTTTTTCCTCCTGAAGTAGAACACACGGTTGACACACGTTCGCCAACCATTGCACTGCTTGGAAAGTTGAACGGTTGGATCTTCCATGAATCTGAAAACGATAATTAGAAAATAAAATAACACGTGATCCAATCTTTTACTTAGAGTATTTAAACATAAACATTTATCATATAATAGACGTTTGATACAAAGAATAATACTATATTTATAAACTACAATAATAATACTTGCTCATTTTAATGATATATTCCAAAAAAATAAAACGATGGATTTCGAATGGAATTTAACTCATAAAATGAATCATAAAGATCCAATATTTTTATCATGTAATATTATTTTATATGATTATAATTATAATATTTTATATTATACAACATTATTTTATATTGTTTAAAAAAACACAAAAGCAGTGAACGTTTCGGCAAATAGTTATGTTTTATAAAGCGATGCTGCACACAACTCACCAAATGCAATTGCAGAGAAAACTGAGTGCAACACAAACGATAGAAAAAAGTTGCATCGAAACATTTTTACTAATTTTAGAAAAAATAGATGAGATTGGGTTTGAAGATTAGTAGTAACGCATCTATATCGTCTACATGCAAGACTGATTCAGAACATGGCATTGCAAGACGCAGAGTAAATACATACATACTATAGAATGTTCTCACAAAGCACTTTAGCGCCATCTGGTGAATATTTAAACGATACACATGTTAACAAAGATTATTTTGTCATAATTAGTGGAGCATGTAAGTAAATATTAATTAAAATTACTTGTGTTTGTTTAAGTAACCAAATTTAAAAACATTCATAGCATTTTAAACATAAAAAGTAGACTTCATATAAGCATAACACAGTATAAAGATTTATAATGGTAATATTAAATAACTTTTTAATTTATTATATTTACTAAAATTATAAAATTTTTTTTAAACATTATATGAAAAGAAACTCATACATAAAGAAACATATTTAAAGGAAAAAGAAGCATACTTACAAATAATGTGAAATTCCTTGAATGAACCAACTCCATATTTTCTTCATACAAAATATCGCGGTAATTTCTGACTTTAATTACTTTTAAATATGCATGTATTTAAAAACATGTATGGTACATTTCAATGTAATTATGCTATTATTTTCCCATAATAGGTAAACGGATTTTAGAACATAAGGGTGTTTATTTTTATTAATGTGATAAAATATAACCAATAATTAAACATTCGGGAAATAAATTATTAAAAAACATTAAAAATTTAATAAGATATATTATAGAAACTGTTGTAAATGGAAAGGTGACCTAATATTGCAAAACCTGAGCAATAGGATAGAGCTCGATTTTAAATAACTTGGCAACATCTATTTTAGAATTATCCTGTATGAAGTTTTTCAGAAAATACAGCTGTCGAGCTATTTTTTAAAGGTAATAACTACTTTTGTTTTCGCTGAATCTAACAAGAAAATAAATAGAAATGTTACGTATAATATATAAAAAAGTATATATATGTATATATAATATATGCAAGTATATAATATATAAAAGTAGTGGTATATATAATATAGAATGCATAAAAAAAATAGAGATCAGGAATATAATATTCGGCGTAATACATATTAGTTTTCGAATACAAGTATCAAGTACGAACAGTTTTAAGATAATCATTTCGACATACATGGGAATAAGAGTAGAAGGAATTTTTATATATTTACAACTATTCGAGTTTGTATTATGTAATATTTACAAACATGTAATTAAAAAGGGTTTGGTTGTCTCTTTGTTCGAGTTAAGTTCCATGGCTGTGCAGAACAGCTCTGTTGCGTGTCGGTCATGACCCACTGAACAGCAATATGAGTCTGAACACGAGCTTTCGCTCTCTCACAACTCCTCTTTTTTCATTGGACATAATTGTGGCGCTTATGCTCGTGCGTGACTCGAGGCCTTGTGCCGTTGAGTCCGCACTCGTTTAGCTCTCTCGTGCTGTTGAGGTGGTTGCCACCGGATTAAAGTGTTCACGGATGGGCCTTACGGCCTCACCCATAACTATTTAAAAGATTACTGAAACGCAATAATATCGTATTACTAAAAAATAACAGTTTCAAAAAATTATTGATTTACGATTTGAAGCTCTGTGAGTTAATTTTGCTGAGAACAAATCTTTTGTTTCCTTTATACAAACACTTGATTTTACTTAATTCGGATATGGGAATTTCAAATCTGCAATCAATTTCTATCTCGAAGTTACAGTTTTTTTTAAAACGACGAATTTAATCTTTTCTTTTGTCAAAATGTACGAGTTTAAAAATTGTATACATAACAGGGGATCGCGTAATTATTATAACAAATTCTTAAGAAAATTATTGCACATCATCAGGATTAAAATTGCATACGAACCCATGCCCGATAATGTCATTGTACGCGGCTAAGGGAGCTATCGCTGTAATGACTTGTTCAGAAGCACGCAAAGGAACAATTCACAATAGGAAAGAGCCCCTGTAGACATTTCCGGGCACTAATTGCAGTGCAATTTTACTCTTGATGATTTGCCGTGATTTTCGTAGAAATTTGTTTCAACATTTACGCTATCCCTTGTTATTTATAACATTTTTCTACATGTACATTTTGACAAAAAATAGAATTAAAATGTCGTTTTAAAAATTGTAGCCCGAAGAGAGAAACCTATTGCAGTTTCGAAATTACACGAAAGTATCGAAGATCTGTTAAAAAATATCATCACAAAAATATCAAAAAAATCGGAATTTTTTTCCCCCCAGTAGTAATGAATCGTATAGAGACGGCAAAAAAGTTAGAGTTTTAAAAAGTCAACCCGAAAATAGAAAGATCAGAAGCGTAACTCATGCAACATTATCGCACATTCGATTTTTTTTGAAGTAAATACAAAAGATGGCTTTAAATATAGAAAAGTATTGAAAATAAATTCAAAGACAAACGAAATGCTCAATATAAAACAGCTAATTGATTTTTTAAAAAAATTTTATGAATTTCATAAGAATGGGCTCATATAAAAATTTATGATAATAGATATTGAAGAAGAAGATCAACAATGAGAATTGATTGAAGTGCAGACTAACTTATATATGTTTTGATTAGTAAGTAAACATTAAAAGTACAGCAGAGAGAGTAGTGATGAAATTTTATGTAATAATCATAATATTGAATAAAGTGAATTTAATAAATCACTTGATCAATAAATACATCGACAGATTTATTTGTAATATTTAAACAGATACCGAAAACTTCAGTATCGATATCAGCAATAAGATTACTCTAATACGTTTAAGATATATATATGAGATGTACAGCTTGAAATGAACTCCCCGGACAATTTACCATCATTTTTAGGGGAAAAAAATCAAACACATTTTTTATTAGAAGTATCATAATGCGAGTAAATCCATACACAGTTTTTTTTTTTAATAAATGTGATTAGTAGCTCAACTCTTCAAATTATTTATTGCTGAAAAAGGCAAGAAATTTTAAAAGCACAAAATTTTTGCAGAAAAGTCCTGGATATTTAATAAATAAAATGCGATATTGTTGCTTCCATACTGTGAAACTTAAAGAAAATACAGTCTTGAAATGTAGCATTGAAAAGTACAGCTTAGTTACAGCCAAATATGAAACAACAAAAATGATAGCAACGATTGAATCTTGGTGTTTGATTTAAATTATACCCAAGCAACGTAATAACAGATTGTTTGTTAAAATAAATGTATCATAGCTCAAGTAAGTTTTTTCATATCAATTTTTTCATATTTGATATAAATATTTATGAAACATATTACATGACTTTGTCAAATCTGAAATTTGACAAATTATTTTTAAACTTTGTAATCAAACTTTAAAATACAAACTGATCACTAAATAATATTCAGTTTTTAACTTATTACTCGTAATAAATATTTCAATATTTATGTGGAAAATAAAATGATTAAAATTTATTCACCCATTGGAAATCATTTTTCTTTTAACTGTAAAGTTCACAAATTTGAAAACATCTGTGAATTTTTTCATCCTCTATTCTTTGTGCAGCTCTTCAAATCACTCACATTATACTCACAGTAGGTATACCACAGACATTCAGACGAATTTAATGTTGTTAACCGAAATGAAAGAACTGGATTTTAAAAAAATATAGAAAAATCTTACAGGTAGAAATATCTTACATGTTTAGAAATATCGTACATGCATGGCATAAAAATATGCCTTACATGCGTGTAAGTATCTTAAATTTATTGTTGTTAACCGAAAGGAAGGAACAGGATTTTACAAAAATATAGAAATATCTTATAGGTAGAAATATCGTATATGCATAGAAATATATTACATTTAATGTTGTTAACCGAAAGGAAAGAATTGGATTTTTCAAAAATATAGAAATACCTTACATGTATAGAAATATCTTACATGTGTAGAAATATCTTACATTTGTAGAAATATCCTGCATGTATAGAAATATCATGACGCCCGGTGGCTGAGCGGTAGCCCTTCGCGCTGTCGTGCCACAGGTCCATGGTTCGATCCTCGGGCCGGGCAAGGTTGACTCAGCCTTTCATCCCTTCAGTGGGTCGATAAAAGTTAATTACCAAGCATGCTTGGGAACTAAACACTGGGGGTTCCGCGTTCGGCTGACCACTTGACAGGAACATCTGCTCCTGCACCCCAGAGCCCAAGGTCAAGAAAAATGAGATGGGCACAGTTGGTCTTGGCCCTCTATGGGCTGTCGCGCCACTGAGTTTAGTTTATAGAAATATCATACATTTATAGAAATATCTTACATGTGCAGAAATATCTTACAGACATAGAAATATCTTACATGTATAGAAATATCTTACACACATAGAAATATCTTATATGTAGAAATATCTTACATGTAGAAATATCTTACATGTAGAAATATCTTACATATTTAGAAATATCTTACATGTTTAGAAATATCGTACACGCATGGCATAAAAAATATGCCTTACATGCATGTAAGTATCTTACATTTAATGTTGTTAACCGAAAGGAAAGAACAGGATTTTACAAAAATATAGAAATATCTTATATGTAGAAATATCTTACATGTAGAAATATCTTACATGTAGAAATATCTTACATATTTAGAAATATCTTACATGTTTAGAAATATCGTACACGCATGGCATAAAAAATATGCCTTACATGCATGTAAGTATCTTACATTTAATGTTGTTAACCGAAAGGAAAGAACAGGATTTTACAAAAATATAGAAATATCGTATATGCATAGAAATATATTACATTTAATGTTGTTAACCGAAAAGAAAGAATTGGATTTTTCAAAAATTTAGAATTATCTTACATGTATAAAAATATCTTACATTTAATGTTGTTAACCGAAAGGAAAGAACAGGATTTTACAAAAATATAGAAATATCTTATATGCATAGAAATATCTTGAATTTAATGTTGTTAACCGAAAGGAAAGAACTGGATTTTTCAAAAATATAGAAATACCTTACATGTATAGAAATATCTTACATGTGTAGAAATATCTTACATTTATAGAAATATCCTGCATGTATAGAAATATCATGACGCCCGGTGGCTGAGCGGTAGCCCTTCGCGCTGTCGTGCCACAGGTCCATGGTTCGATCCTCGGGCCGGGCAAGGTTGACTCAGCCTTTCATCCCTTCAGTGGGTCGATAAAAGTTAATTACCAAGCATGCTTGGGAACTAAACACTGGGGATTCCGCGTTCGGCTGACCACCTGACAGGAACATCTGTTCCTGCATCCCAGAGCCCAAGGTCAAGAAAAATGAGATGGGCACAGTAGGTCTTGGCCCTCTATGGGCTGTCGCGCCACTGAGTTTAGTTTATAGAAATATCATACATGTATAGAAATATCTTACATGTGTAGAAATATCTTACAGACATAGAAATATCTTACATGTATAGAAATATCTTACATGTGTAGAAATATCTTACATGCATAGAAATATCTTACACACATAGAAATATCTTATATGTAGAAATATCCTACATGTAGAAATATCTTACATTTAATGTTGTTAACTGAAAGGAAAGAACTGAATTTTACAAAAATATCGAAATATCTTACATGTAATGAAATTTAAGAGTTTGAACATTAAAGGCATGATTTCTCTCTAATTTCATGATTTATTCAGCAAAAATATCAAAGTTGTTTTATACTTTTTACAAAACCAATACATGATTAAACCAGACATACCAGTGACTTTCACAATAATAGACTTTATAAGATCCTTTCCGATTCCATTGGAAACATTACACTTGTAAATCCCCTCCGTCGCCTTCGATATGTCAGACAATAACAAGCTTCCATTATTAAATAGGGTTACGTCTTTGGACACAGATATCGGTGCAAAAGCAACATTTTGACCTAATAAATGATAGAAACATGAAATGAGTGCTCACAAATAATTGCTGTACTCAGTTCTCGAGTAAAATTCATTTAAAAATAACATAAATTTGATCAATACTAAACAAAGACATAATAAAGAAGATCAGAATCAAATTCGCTCATAATTTAGAACATTTTAAATACACGTATTCTTAAAATGACACTTTTTAAATAACAATATGTCTTTAAGAAGTTGTATATTAAGAAACAACATATTTGTACATTTTAAAATAGGGAATATTAAAAGATAAAAGATATAATTTAGTTTTTTTTTCTGTACGCAATATTTTTCAACTAGTTTATTTAATTGGGTACTTGCACTTCGAGAAGAAGAAGATCACGCATACCAGCACATGTGACCTATGACGTAGGCTCCAGTTGATGGTTTAAAAGCGAAATGGAGCGTCAAGTTAAGTTTCTTCTCACAAGTTAGAATGTTAATTAAAATGAAATATAATTAACGTGATTAAATATAACTTCGGTCATTAACATGAAATGTAATTAACGTGATTAATTACAACCTCGCATCATACATTAAACTTGTTGAAATACATTTCTTTCTCGTCTACGTCTTTTACTTAAATTAGATTTATTATTTGCTTTTGTGCTTGATTGTAACCGTGATATATTTTTGTTTTGTGTACTTTGCAACTCCAGTGCATATTTAGTTTGTTTACATTCCACACGGCTTCGCGCCTGTCTTCGTGTTGAGTAAGAATGATAGAGTGAAGGAATCGATATCTGTGGGAAAGAATCTTTGTGAAAGAATATAGAATGTGTCAGTTAAGAGAATTGGTACTTGACGGGCTTGGCTTGAGTGAAATAGAATGGAAAGAATAGTTGCCAACGTAAACAAATGCCTCATTTCAACAACCAATCTGGATCGAGATACCAACACTACGGCATTTGCACGCATCCCTTTGTAATGAATGATAAAAAAAATGAAGGAAATTGTTTTGAAGAAAACCGTAAAAGCATCACAGTAAAAAAATAAATATTTAAAAAAAATAGCATTGTCACATTTTAAATTCTGCAATATTGAAATTACAAAATCTTACTAATTGCGCGTTGCCAAAATGAGAAAGGTTCGGGTTTTCCGGATCCTTTGCAATGTAACATAATCGATTCTCCGCTGACTGCATCGTAATCTTGAGGAGTAATTTTCCACGAAGGAGACACTGCAAAAAAAAAGCTTAGTCGTTCTTAAACTATTTTAGTACAGTCCAAAATAGATTGAATTTTCACTACTAATAAAACTGACATGACAAACATAGCATCGAACCTAACACATAAATTCACCTAAAACATTCAGTGGAGTGGTATAACTTCCAGAAAGTCCTCTGGCACTGACAACGCATGTGTAGTTGCCATCATCATCTTCAGAAAGAGGATTTATGACAATATTGGACAGTTCTGGATAGCTCAAGATGTTCACATTTTTCTTTTGAGTGATTTCTTTGCCGTCCTTCAACCACTTGAATCTCATTTTCTCTCCGGTAGATGGAGTGCAGGTAGCGCTCACTCTTTTCCCAATCACTGACTCAACTGGGAAAAAGAAAGGCTGGATTTTCAATTCACCTAAAATTATATTTTGCATTTAATTTTCTCCTATATAATAGAATTTAATATTCAGGTTATATAAATATTATAATTTACGTATTTATATTGAGGTAAGTTAAAATCAGAGCTGAAACTTTGACGCTGGCGCATGCGCTCCTCCATTGGATAACTTACCCCAAATACTTCTATATTAATCTCGTTTTAGTACGAGATCAGGGTGTAAGGTATTTTGTATATTTGATGTTATTAATTAGTGCTGGTATTATCAGGGGTCTGTCCAGGCATTTTGTGAAAGGTTCGTTTTTGTAAAATTCTGAAAAAATGACTCGTAATTTGTGAATATAAAATAAACGTTAAGTCACATTCTTTGAACCAGGGTCCTGATTTTGTGAATGTGTGCAAATAGGGTCCGCAAAAAGAAACTTTTTCGAGAAGTTTTTAAATTGTAAGGACATGCAAGATTATGCTCAACACTGTAAAATTATAATTGAAAAAATTAAAATTTTAAAAAATAAACAGCCATTGCAGCTACTAAATTAGCGATACAATATATAAATATTTAGTATTTAGCCTACACTGCTGAAAGCAGAATATTCATTTCGGACAAATAAGGGAAGAAGCGTCTGCCGAAGACAAAATTTAGTTTGTTTACATCTGTCTTTCTCCCCCCCCCCTTCCTGAGAAGGGTTTATTCGAATAACAAAACAATAATGAAGATAAACAAATTTGTGAAGGGTCCGATTAAAAGATAAATTATTTTGTAAAGAGTCCGTTTTTATGAAAATATCTTTTGTGAAGGGTCCGTTAACGGACCCAAATTTCTTCTAAACAGACCCCTGATTATGTTGGACCTCTTGAACAGCGACGTATATTATATTAATTACGTTTTAGATTCACGGCAATATCGGATAAAACGAGCGTTGATATTACGTTGATATGGNCTTTCCCCCCCCCCCCCCTTCCTTAGAAGAGTTTATTCGATTCACAAAACAATAATGAAGATAAACAAATTTCTGAAGGATCCGATTAAAAGATAAATTATTTTGTGAAGGATGCGTGTTTAAGTTAAAATATTTTGTGAAGGGTCCGTTTTTATGAAAAGATATTTTGTGAAGGGTCCGTTAATGGACCCAAATTTCTTTTAAACAGACCCCTGATTATGTTGGAACTCTTAAACAGCGACATATATTATATTAATTACGTCCTAGATTTACGGCGATATCAGATAAAACGAGCGTTGATATCACTGATATTACAATCAAATTAAAAATAATCATAATTTTAACGTTACTTCGCAAGTGCTGCTCCCAAATATCATTCAGGATTAAAAAGTCTTACTGGTAGTTTCTTCCAGATAAAAAATAATTAAGAAATTCCTCATTTAAGCTACCACTATGACGTTTAGGAAAACTTTCACTTAGATACTCCTTCAGTAAGACGTTTAGGCAATGATGTAGTGAAGGATATCCGACGAATATACAGCATAGTAGTTCATTGTAAACAAACTAATAAAACCAAATAAAATAGGAAGGAAGTTCCACGATTTTCTATTCATGAGTGTAAAAGTCGGGTTAAAAAGTATGAAGCAATAATTGTTGCCGTTCACGTCATGCTTAATTTGTTTATTATTTTTAATCCGAATGTATTGATTAAATATTTATTTGTAGACTACGAACTCTAGGGGATTATTTATTTATCTTTAAGAAAAGGTATAAAAATAGGGTGGTTTTATAAATATGATGGCCTAGTATAGATGCTTTAATTTAATTTATGAGTAAACCATATAATTCTGCAAAAAGACCTACATATTACATAAATTTGTTCACTAAGTTCTCAACACCACTTCTGAAATACTCTTTTGAAATTAACGAAAATTTATTTTTGTTGTTTTATTTTCTACAAGAATAAATAAATTAAATTTTAAAAATGTGTGAACTTGATGAAAGGAATAAAAAATATTTCCTCTATGCAACAAAAAATAGAATTTTTAGCTCATTTTAAATTATATCTATTAGTGATCAAACTGTCTTCGGTGGATACGCAAGTGAATATTACATCAACATATCATTATAATATCAACTATAATGTGATTCAGATGTTATTATGTTTAAAGCAGTGACACATATAGGAGTCTGAGAAATAAGAGCCAGGGAAAGGAGTAAATATTTGGATTCTTCTTTTAAAGTAAAATTGAATGTATGTCATACACTATATTAGATTAAGAATTTTTCACGCTAGTTTCCTTTGGCATAGACTGATTTGAAATGCCATAATAAAATTTAGTAGACTGTTAGAAGACTAAAATGCGTTTTTGTACCGAAATCTACATCAAAAGCCTGACAGAACAACAAAAAATATATTTAATAAATTATATCTTGCATATCATGATAAAAATTTCGACAGGTATTCATAAATAATGAACTTACAAAATCAACTTGATGAAAAATTGAATCAAGTTTAGTTGTAAACTATTCTTTGCAAACATAAAAACATAGGTATGAAAAAAATAAACCAGAACTACTTAGATTATAAATTCAACCAGCTATGCTTAGATTTGAAGTCTTTAATAATATTCAAATGCATACATACTGTGCTGTTCTAATGATCTTTTTCATTCATTAATGTCCATATATAATTCAAATTAGCAACTATTTAAATATATCTGATGATATTTTTAAGGATTAGTTAAATTTTTAAGAATAAATAGATGATATGAAAAACAATGAAAACACAAATCTTCTAAAGAAAGAATTATTACTCATTATTGTTACAGAGAAAATAACGGAAGTAATAAAACAAAACGATACTATAATACAATCAATTAAATATTCAGTGTAAGAATTTTAAAATAAATAAATAAATAGCATTCAAGGCATACTTACTTTTGGCTATGGCAGATAAACAGATGAGTTGAAATCCCAAGAGAATTATCGTCAGATTGTAGTTGCACTGCATTTTAATTTGATTCAACAGTTATTCTACTAAAAGGTGATTAGTTCCAATAACAACAACATGCAGTATTGAATCCGTGCAGATTTGATACAGGAGAGTACTATTTTAATTTGAGTGAACGTCTAGATAACATGGCGTTTAAATGCAACTATTCAGCCATAAGTCTTTAAAGTGTAAGACAGCGCCGCCATTCGGAATATAAGGGAACTAAAATGTATATAAATCATAGATTTATATTTTCTTCTAAAATACGGACACTTTAATATGTACTTTATGATGTGTGGTATTTTGATTTTTACCTGATTAAACAAAGTGATATAAATATATGCATCTAATACATTAAGACGTTAAATCAAATGAAAATTGGTGAATTTATGGTTTCACACTCATAATAATTTTATGAGCTGTTTCTTTAAGCTCTTAATGATACAAAGATGTCAATATTTTTATCTTTAAAATAAAGTAAAATAGATCTTAATATAGATTCGAAGTACTCTACTACTGCACACATTGTATACATTGCATATATTTTTTTTATAACAAATTATTCTATACAATGTTTAAATATTTTTATTAATGCAAAATTTTAAATACAATGAAAGAAATGGAAAGTAAATGTACGTAAGCTTTAAGAAGAAATTATGTAACGAGCAAATTTAAAAGCATTTACAGACATACAGTTTTGTCTCTGCGAGTATTGTACAAATATCTTTAATCAATATGAGTGAAAGATTATTAATTAAGCAATAGCATGACAGTTTATTCATGCTGGTTATAATATCTTCAAGATCGCCAAGACTGCGTGACTTAATAAATTTTTTTGAGGAGTTTTTACAAAAAAACAACAACTTAAACATGTAATAGTTGAGGTAACAATAAAACCTCTCTTTCATAAAAAATATAAAATTTGGTATTATAATTTTAAATAAAGAAGTAATCAATAATACACAACTTCATACAAATTATTAATAATTTTATTATTCAATCCTTTTAGTCTGAAAAAATGATGAATAGGATATAATAATTACACATACATAATATTAATTACGTAATAATTGCACCACAGAGTGCATACATTTTACAAATAGTAATTTTTTTAAATAGCCTGTTTAGTTATACTGTGAATCAAAATGTAAAAAACCGCTTCATTACAAATATTTAAAAAATATTTGCAAAAGTTTTCAACTGTGTTCAACAAGGAACAAGTGAAAAGTGTCAATAAAAATGCTAAAGAACAGTGATAGCGTCAAGAAGTGAGCAGTGAAAACGTCAGGGAACAGTGATAACGTCAAGAAGTGAACAGTGAAAACGTCAAGAAACAGTGATAACGTCAAGAAGTGAACAGTAAGAACGTCAAGGAATAATGTTCAAGAAGGAACAAAATGGACATATACATAAAAAATACACATTTTGGTAATATGAATTTAAATAAAGAAGTAAGCAATAGTGCAGAACTTTATACCAATTATTATTAACTATTCTATTCCTTAATCCCATTTGTCTCAGGAAAACGATGCATAGGATATAATAACGCATGGATTATACTTACATGGATTTTCTTTGATTTATTTTGTTTCATTACAACTTTATTTGTTCCACACAGGCTGCGTAAATTTCACAAATGGTATTTTTTTAAAAATTGCGTTCTTAGTTATTTCGTGAATTGTACTGCAAATACTCGTGTCATTACAAGCATTTAAAAAATGGAAATATAACTGGACATTCGTTTTTTATAATACAGTCGAACCTCGCAAATTCGAACCTCGATTTCGCGAATTTTTTGATATCTCGAAGTAAAAAGAATTCCCTTCAAATTTTCTATACTCTCAATGCTAAAAAAACCTTGATTTCACGAATTTTTCTTTCCTAATCCTTCGATAACTTGAATTTTTTTCCATAAATAGTGTAGATTTTTTTTTCTGAAAATAAAAAGAAATAAAAAAAATAAAAATAGAAAGTCAATTCTCAAAATCAATTCTCAAACAAACACTTTCTGCAGTGGACACTGTAAGGAGATTTATTGAGAGGCAGCCAAATATGTCAGAGGAGACATTTAAAGCTATAGTCCACTTAGAAAGTGCTATAGACAAACTGTCTTACACATCTCCAAAGCAAACAACTATTGAATCTTTTTAAGTGTAAAAAGTGTTTTTAGAATAAATATGGAATAGTAAATAAGGTATGTAAACAGCATTTTTCTTTATTCTACCATCGATAACATGCGATTTTCGATAATACGAATTTTCGGTATCTCGAATTTTTTCTCCTCTCCCTTCAAGTTCGAAATATCGAGGTTTGATTGTATAAGACAATTATATTACATAAATAAAATATCTTAAGACCATCAGAATATCTGAACTGGAAACATTTAATCAAGCACTGGAAGATACGAAAGGAAAATCTGAGGAATCACATGGCCCCATCGGGGCTGTAGTGTCAGTGAAGAAGGAACCACATTAATATAATATATAAGCTTTACCCTGATCCGCCATCCAGCGATACTACCCCGTCCAGGGGGAGGGTCCATCCAGGGATACTAATAGTCGACCAGGATACTGATCATAAATATAATACACAAAATATAATATATTTTATAGAAAAAATGCGAACTTTTAAAAACACACAAAAACACATGCCTATAAAAATAACAAATACTGACGCATATCATAGACGGCATTATAAATGTTAAGATTTATGGGATTTATGGGATAAGATTTGCATTCACAAGAAGTTATCCGCAAACTTGTTCGACTAAAAATATTCCTAAAACCGTAGAATGAACTTGAACACATCTACTCATAATGTAAATCCGAAGCAAATCTTTCTTTTTATGAAACCAAAAAAAAATTTTGTAGATAAATGTTTTTAAATGTAATGTATGAATGTTTAGAAATAAGCAGATTTTTATTTTTGTGGTAATAATCTAGAGAGAGAAATAAGTAGGACTTTATTCATCCATACAACATAAATCTCATGGACTACATATTGCATAGAAGTGCACCTACCTATGACTTTAACCATGACACTCTTGATGAGAGATTTTTTTATACCATTCGATACGTTGCATTGATATATACCCTCATCTTCTTTTTCAATGTTTTCAATAAACAGACTTCCATTTGAGTAAATGCTTGATTTGCTGGAAGACGACGATAATGCGAAATACTCGGAGCTGTCACCTAAAAATAATAAACATTTCATGTAATACTCATGTTGCAAATGTAAGCATGAATACATTAAATTGTAGTACAATCTGAAACATTGCTTAAAAGCAGTGGTCGGAAAAACTACACTATTTTTGTAGTTTACTAAACTACACTATTTTTTTGTTGTTGTTGACGTATGCCTGTTTAGACAGAGGAGTGCGATTGTTCTTGTTTTCCAGTGGCGCCATCTTTGGCCAAGAATTTGACCTCTGCCACACCCATACGTCACACCCGTTTATAGGGCGGACCCATACATACATCCATTCATTAATTTATCCACAGATCGTCACGATCACAGAGAACGATCGATCTCCAATCCAGTACCCCCAGCGGTACTGAATTGTTATGGAAATATGGAGGACTTTGCGACTCGACAGATTTAACGTGCACCAGTCACCATTTACTACAAGAGGAGCCGTCGGCCGGTGGGATTCGAACCCACTAACTCTCGGACATGAGTCCAGCGCCCTACCGACCAGGCTATCCCGACCCGTAACTACTTTTTTTCTAATTTAGTGACTACAAACTATCTAGAAATTGTAGTAACTACTTGCCTACTTTAAGGAGACGAAGCTTGCTGCGGAACTTAATGTGTACACCCAGGTTCAAAATGGTTTTGAATAAGAAATCGGCTTACATTAAATATAAGATAACAATTAATGTTTACAGGAGCCAGTATGTTATTCCAAAGCATTTTTTTTTTAATTTGCTCATTTAACTTTCATCATTTTATGCCTTTTTCGACAGTGAATATTTAATTTAAGAAATGCAAAATTATCAAGTAATTTTTTATTTGTTTAATGTTCTTTTATTTCCTCTAACAAAATAAATACATCGAAAATGCGTTCCTTACTTTAAAATAACATCAATGTTTCAAGAGTGTGCACTCGCGTGTAAAAGTGTGACAAAAGTGATTATTTATTTTTCGTAATGGCTAGTTTAAGTATTATATATACGTAGTTTTAAATTCGCAATTTCTGTTAGCAGTCAAGCTACTGCAACAGGGTCATTTTCATTGCATCTTTTGATTAACTAGCAAAGATTCGTACCCATCAAATTCGAAAAAGTAATTGCGTTAGAACCGTATTTATAAACAAAACCTAACATTAAAAGAAGTTATCAAGAATCAGTGAAAACTACTGTTTTTTTTCATCGCACTACTCCATACACTACTTTTTTTAAAAAAAAATAACATACTACACTACAAACAATGAAAAAAAGTAGCGACTACATTAATTTCACTATTTGTAGTAAAGTACTTCCGACCATTGCTTAAAAGTAACAATACTTTAAAACAGGAATTTTTAATAAAAATTAACTGCAATTAGCCAAAACATAAAGTAAACAATATTTAAGCTAAAATATTCGTGGCTTACCGATATGTTAAAAATATAAAGAACTGTATAAACAATCCAATTTAAGTCAGTAATAAACTCCTGTAACGATACCTAAACCCTCAGACATATTTCTGCGATGTTACACTGACAAAATATTCTTTCTCATACGGAACACTATTTCTTTAAAATGTCTTTATTTGGTTGAAAATGTAATGTTTTTCGCAATGTAGGAAGCTAACAAAACGGAAAATTATTCTTAATAATATATTTTAAAGATTGCAATACTGAGGTTTTTATAACAGATTCTTGAAGACTGGAGATATAGCAGCGATAAAAAATTATAAAAACAAAAGCATTATCTCAATAGCCTGTTGTCAACTATTTGCATCCATTTATGGGAGTTATTTCTCCATTATTTCGACACAATGATGCCAGCAATGTAGTCAACATTGCGGACTAGCCGTCTTTACTCTCTAGACCAGCTAGTAACAATTCGCCACCTGGTGTGGAGCAGCGATTCTTCACAGTGCCATCTCAGATACAGGTATCAGAAGGATTTTATTAAAAATTTTAAAATTTCATCCGTAAATAAAATTAAAATGGAAAAAAAAAATTGATACTGACTCTTTTTATAATATAGTTTAGCGTTTTCTTTTAAACGGATAATTTTATGCCTGACAAATACATGTATATATTTTTTTGCTTTGTTTTTAGCACTTGAAAATATTTAAAATGT